GTGTGTGTGTGTGTGTGTGTGTGTGTGTGTGTGTGTGTGTGTGTGTGAGCGGTGCAGGAAGGGCAAGTTGTGGTTTGTGGTGAGGTCCATGGCGTGCAGCCAGAGACAAGAGTGTGGCCGCTACGTGTGTCTTTGTTTGTTTTCCTTGCAGAGCTTTTACCCCCTCCACCCCCCCCTCCCCACCTCAGCACACACAAACACACACTCCTCGCTCTTTATGGAGAAAGTGAGAGGGAGGAGTTTTGTGTTTGTGCGGCAACAATGGTGTCTGCAGGAGAATGCTGCCAAATCCACGTTCTAGTCCCCACACAGGGCAGAGCGGCACGGGCTGCCAAATTCTGCCCAAAACGCCGGGCAGCGCCGCTCACCGTCTTACCCAATCTGCAACCGAAGGCTTAAAACGCATTTATTTTCCTTCCAAAAAGAACTGATTTGTGGCAACTTTTTCATTCTTATCAAGTCCACCTTATGTCGGGCCAAAAAAAAAAAAAGCAACCGACGTGTGCTCAGAGAAAGTTTGTTCGGATTCTCTTCAGTTTTGTTCCGGGACTGTAACTGTCGCCAGAATTCCCTGTAATTGTTTTTAATTAAGATATGAATAAGGGAGGGTAAATGGAGGTTTTAAGGATTTCTGTCACTCAAGAAAGAACAGAAACTCTACTTTTGCATTTTGCCAAGAGTCCAAAATTACAATTATTGGACCTACCACTCACAAAACAGTACACTCACATGAGTGTAAGGTCTCTTCATTGCCATTACATGATGTCACAAGTTATCACAGAAATTAAAGTCATCCCGAAAGAAGAGCTGTTCATATTTCTCTTGCGTGGCTTTCCACCGCAGCTGTTGTTTTCTTCTTGAGGTTTTGCTTCCTCTACTGAATTACAGCTACTCACAGTGTTGTCTGTATATCCAATGTATGAAAACACACATGGAAGTTAATGAAAACATATCAAATTGTCATTTCTCTTTCCCCGATTGTAAACCCATGACTAACCCAAACCCATTACAATTCCACAGTTAAGATAGTGTCTGTTTGTAAAAGCCCCACATCACTCTGACATCTTAATGAGGGATCCTTTGAAAAATCTCTGATCTAATTGGGACCTTTCCAGATCATTAAGAGGCAAAGAAATTATAAAGAATGAGGAAATTAGACACCAATAGCTTACACAAAAGCAAACATATTGAGTGTTTATTCATGAACAGGCTGCTTTTTCACAAATTTTCACTCTAGCCGTTGTAGTCATTTTCAGATATAATGTGCTTTTTTAAAAACACTCAACACTGACCTATGAATCATTCAAACACAATAAGAGCACTAAACTTGAGGAGTGAATCAGTGTTATGCCAACCCACAACAGACAAACTTAGCAAAAAAAACATTTTAGGTAGTCATATTGTGCAATTTGTTGAGAGCAGCAGTGCAGACTCATCTTGACGGTAAATGGAACAAAAGGGAACCGGCATTCAAAAACCGGCATTCAAAAACGAGCTTTGGGATTTCCTCCAAGAATTTTGCAATTGTTTGTGCGTCATTCAATAAGCTACTATGTCTATTTACAGTTTTAGGCAGCCAGTGCTCTTTCTTCTTTGTTTTTCAAATGTCTCTTGAAAAAATGGTTGACATTATTTCATTGGAGCTTTAGTCATACAAGAGGTGAGGCCACCTTGTTAAAGAAAGTGCCCTCCAACACTGATGTTATATCATCAGAGCCTGTATTGTGACCTGTTGTGAAAAACAAATCCCATCTAATCGCTTCCAGAAACAAATCTGACTTTCCCGTATTGACTGAATCAATCGTTTTTTTACTTAGAATAGTTGTACAATGATCATCCAGACACAAACTTACTGACATACTGATCATTTTGTTAGATGGGCTTATGTGAATTTCTATGTCAATTGATTTAATCCTAGAGGCAGCTTTGAAACTTTTCCAAACAGATTTTATCTGGGCAATAAATTGTGTAATGAATTCAGATTTTTATGAGCTAATGAGAAACTAA